GGCGAGCGGCGTTGGGGGGGCGGTGGTCCCCGCGGCGTGTTGTGCGAGGCTGCATCCCACGCGCTGGGAGGTCGCGGGATGATTTTGGGAGGGGGGAGGGTGTGATCTCTGCAGGACAGTGACCCACGGGACAATCAAAACAGTGGTTTTCGATCTTTTTTGACCCCTCTAGATTTTCAGCGAGCTGAGGTCTCCTGACGACAGCTTGGCTCTCCGCAGGCTGTGGAGACACAGCTGGCTCCCCTGTGGCTCTCCAGGAAGGATCAATGAGAGCTTCGTTTCGAAGGCACCAGAATTTGGCTTGCGCTGGTGTCTTAACGCTGGGGATGGTAGATGAGACACTGAGATGGAAAACACGTCCAGCCGCCACCGCTGGCCTGGTGCAAGGCTGTTCTTAGGAAGGTCGTGCGCGTAGCTGGTGGCTGCAATGTCACAGCCTACTTACAGTCTCCGGCTTCCCTCCAAAATTAAAGGGACAACTTCACTACTTGGCACTGGCGTAAGGAAGCCGCCTGCGTCTCCCTCTCCCACACTGCCACCCTTTGCCTTGAAGAAGAGACCTCTTCAAAGCCCCTGAGATGTTGCAGGGAGTGAAGCTCCAGGGGGAAATGTCCAGGAAAAAATTTGTGGCGGAGCCATCGTGTGGCATCTCTGGAGGCCCTGAACGAGCTCCACAGTGATGCTACAGCTCCTAGGGCTGATGCTCGGTGAAGAAAGTGGCTTGGATGTATGCAGCAGGCCTTGCGAGCCTATCGCCTCCCAACGCACATGAGTAGATGGCTTGGGGAAGATGGCAGGCTCTATGTCTGGCGCCTCTCTGGGGCTTCGGCATCTCTGCAAGGGTGGCCTTGTAGCAGTTCTCCATTGAGCTGCAACATAAAATACACCGAGGGGGGAGGGCAGGAACTGGGGGCCCCTCTGGCTGGTTGCTCCATCCCACCGTTTCCATCCCAAGCATGATGCTTGTCCCAGGCAGGACAGCCAGCGGCGTTGCCAAGCAGAAAGGCCTGGCCATAGGTGCTGGGAGGTGGGAGCCGCTTGTGCCTCAGGGGCCCAGGAAACCTGCGGTGATGTCCCGAGACCTCCAGCAAATGCTATGCAAGAGCTGGGGACTTAGATGGAGAATTTGGTCCTTTCTCAGAGCGAGGTCTGAGCTCAGCACTCTGGAGCCAGGTGGAAAAAATCCTGGCCATGGCTATTTAAGCCTCTTGTAACAGACCGGCGGCCAGTTCCTGCCTCCCCAGGGGCTTCCTACGGGCTGGCCGCTTCCCCCTGCTTTCGGTTGCACTCTCCTCTCCCCCATTGCAGCTCTGCAGCGTGTATCCATGGCTCTGAGATCACACGCGAGGATGGGCTAAAGTAGCGGAAAGCTGTTGGATCCTACCACAGAGTTACTGACTTCTTAGCTACAGACTGCATAGCAATCAGAGAGGGGGAGAGAGAGCCAGAGGAAGAGAGCGGGAGGAAAAAGAGAGGAAGAGTGGAAGGGAGACCGGTAGAGACGGCACAGAAATTTGTGAAATAGAGAAGGGGGATAGAGCAGGCAAGGATAAATAAAGAAAGGGAAGGAGAGAAACAGGCAGAAGGGAGAGACCAGAACTCATCACCAAGCTGCAGCCACAAATCAGAGCTCCGTGGGATGGAAACTCCTGAGAGCAAAAAATGCTGAAGAGAGGCAGAGGCAGAGGAAGAGGAAGGAGAAGAGCACTGGCATGAACAGGGGAGAGTTAGGAGAAGAGCAAGTCACGGGGAGGAAGTAGCTACTTGAAAGAAAAGAGGCGAGAGAGGGCTGAAGAGAGACCTCCCAGATTCCTTCAGTCCAGGCGAGCTGAGGCATTTCATGGTGAGATGGAGAAATCACCCGCTTTTCCCTTCCTCTGATGTTGGCTCTCCACAGCTCAAGCAGGGAGCAGCTATCGGCAGGACCTGGGTAAGAGATGGTGCTGGTTAGCGCTACTCCCGTTCGTGGCATGATAATGGGAAGGTTTTTCCTCTGAAAATAATGCATTGTTTCATCTGCGCTAGCTCTGAGGAACAGCTATAAATATAACTTAGTGAGATATGCGTGGCTTCATGTGAGTGCCAGTGAATAACAAAGTTGACTGTGTGCATTGCATATGTAAATATAGAAAACGAAGTGCATGTGTGCGAAGGGGCAGAAACACACCTGTTTGTAACCTCCCTAACTTTGCTCCTTTCACCTCCACGCATGGACTTGGGTTACTTTGCAGGTAACTTTTTCATTTTTTTCAGCTCCTGATGTTTTCTTAGCTCCTTCTCTCCCAGGGCTGGGTCTTGTTTGCCTTCCATTTCTCCTGGCTGCCACCATACACTCCTCATGTGCGATGGTCCAAGCTACTTCCCTAAGGCAGCCCAGAGAAGAGTGGACCTGGAAACCCTGGGTCCGTCCTCAGCAATCTCAGGCGCGAAGGGGGTTGAAGCAGATGCATGGGCTCTCCCTCTGCCCAGGGAGCTGTTTGGACTCCTGAACTCATCCCTGTCTCCTTTGCGTTCAAGCTCTTCTAGTCTCTGCCAGGCTGGTCTTGCCAGTGGTGGTCTGACATCCCCCAGATCTTCCAGATACCTTTTTTTGGAAACTGTGAGCAAAATGCTGGAGAAGCTCTGCCCTTGCTCCCCACTGGCATCCTCGTTGGAGCGGGGCTCGTCAGGAGGGTTTGCACAACAGAATCAGGTCACCCCAGTGGTCCCTAGCACCAGCAGCAGCCCCAATGCGCTCTCCCTTAGGTCAATAGCAGGGAGCTATAAAATCCCCTCTGCCAAAGGCCTGGAGTCTCCCAGCCCCAGCACCCAGCCCCGGCTTTATTCTGGCAAAGCTAATGGCCGCTCTGGGGCCTCTCCCTTCTTCCTCTGCCCCTCCAGAAAGGGATGCTGTTCCCAGGAGGAAAGAAGCAGGATGGGGACACGCCGCGTGCTGCGGGGCAGGCGATGCTGCGTGGATAGGGTTGGAGGCACGGGTTGCTCTGTGCATCTTGATTTGCGGATGTGTGACCCCCAAAGAGCCCCTGCCTCTCTCTTGGGCAGAAAAGAAGAAAAGACAGTGGATGGCAGCCTGTGATGTTTATGGAAACGAGTGTCCTGCATGGTTAAGAGTGTAGGGAGACCCAGTGCTGTCTGCTAACCAAGGCCAGCGATGGGGCCGGGAATACGCTGCAATTCGCCTGGATGTGCTCCGAGCTGGCTGCGAAGGGCCGCCCGTGGCAGCGCACGTGGGGCTGTGCGGCAGTGGGGACAGGGCCCGAGCATGGCCCTCCACGCGCGGAGCAGGTGCGCAGCTCCTGGCCCCCCTCAGCTTTGCAGCGGTGTCCACAGAAGGTGGAGGGGCCGTGCGTGCCCGTGGGACGGGGACAATGGCGACCAGGAGCCGAGGAGGGGACAGGGAGGGGTGCGGGCGAGCGCGTCTCGCCAAAGATGCTGGGACGTGCCCCCTCCTCTTTAGCCATCGGAAGTAGCGCCTACAGGAGCCTGAGTCACCCGAGCACGTGGCCACCCTTGTTTGTAGTTGCTGATAATAATAATAAGTATAGGAGGAATACGTACTTTATAAGGGAAATATGAGCCCAAAGGCGATAGGGAGGGGTGAGGTAGGGAAGGGATGGAGAGGGCAGCAGTGCAAAGGGTGAGCTGGAGAGGGTTGATCTGGAGAGAAGGAGTGGAGCGCTTCTCCTTTCTCTTCTTCCATCTTCCTCCCTCCCCCCCCCCCCCCCCCCGCTCCATCATGTTT